TAGCAACTGAATTTAGAAAGATAAGGAGCAAACAGGAAAAAAGTACCATATGTCCAGGTTTCCTTTTATGGATAAGAAAATAATTTCATGCTTGTGAGCAATACTGTAAATATACACAGGGAAGAATATCTATGAATAACAAAAACAAAGAGTCTGTTTGCCTTCTCCAAGAAAAACAACATAGAGCTCATCACAGTAACAGCATACTGGCAGAAAAAGTTGATCAGGAGGAACGACAAAATATTCAAAAAATTTAATTAAACCAAGCAATTTTTCTCAGCACTACAGCCTTGACAAGAACATTTTGCAGCAGTAGCTGCTACTTCTCCTCATGGGTGACTTTGAAACATGGAAAAGAAAAGAAGCCTTCACTCCTCAAGTTTTATTTTGCTATGAACAAGTGCAGTTAACAGAATGGTAGAGAGTCTTGCAGTTTTCCAACACAAGAATTTTGAGGAAAGTTTTTGACGGTTGTTTAAGATCTTAGCACTGAAGATTTTCTTTAGCTTCAGCACAGTTAGAACTTCCTTAGAGAAATAAAAAAAGGAGATCTGCCAATTGAAGTTAGAAATGCTTCCAAATGCTCACAATTACTCTGTGAACTACTCCTACTGCAATTTGTGATATATCCTATTGTGCCTTGTTTTTAACTCTCTAAGGATGGAAAATGTTTTTTGTTTGGCAGCTTATAAGCAATACATTGCTTGCGGTGTGTATCAACTAAACTAGACAAAAAAAAAAAAAAAAGCTGTTCTAGTTTAATATCTCCATTACTGTGAAAGACTCTGGTGCCTCAGTTTTCCAACAATTCCAGTTATTGTGCAAGAGCATTCAGCACATACACTTTGGGCCCTGCACACTTGCTGTCAATATAAAATTGCACTAAGGCCACAGGGACCGTTTGCAGGACATTGCCCATGCATGTCATAGACAAGACCACAGGAATAAAAACTGGTTATTGGGCTTCTATTTTATCTGCTACAAAAACTGCCAATAGCTACACTAGCACCAACTGCTAGAAGTTCCTAAGTGTGGTAAATTTTACTGCTTGCTAGAGTTTAGAAATTAATTCCACTCTCTCCAATGTTTACAACCTGTCATGATGGATTTCATGAAATATCACAAAGACCAGGTGATACACGTGTCCAAACTATTTCTAAATGAAGAGTTCCTTTCAGAGATGTTTACTAAGTTAACAGATAACCTTAGCCCATCATGACACTTCCACAATATTTTCACAAACCATTGATTTCCTATCTGTATTTTAAGTATCCTACCCCTTCCTTCAGCATTTTTTGCTTTCTATCTACAGTCAACCAAATGTTAAAAGAATCCACTGTTAAAGTCTCATTTGCTGCTCTAAATGTGCTGTTTTGCCACTTTAGTAATTTTACTAGTCAATGGTCTTTCTTTCTTTTCCCTAATAAAATAAAAAATAAAATCCAGTTTTTGTCCTGAGTCTCACATTTTCTAATCTTCCTCTGTCTAACCTCAACTTCTACCCCTACCCAGCCACTGCCTCATGAATTCTACATATTTTATTTTGGGTTTTAAGTCCCCTTTGTGACTCTTGCAATTTACATCTGTCAGCATCCAAAGCTGCTCCTGTAGCTGGAACCATCTCACACTCCTCAGTTGCTAGAGGACTTTCCAAGCCCTCAGAATTCACCCTCTTTCTTAGTTTCCACCACTTATTCTTCCAGCTTAACTAAACCATTAAAAATAGACTAACTGATTAGCAGCTCTGGAAATGTGGAAATTTTTATTATCTGGAAAAACACTCTTCCTCATTTCTCCACAATAACCCTACCTGCTACCTGATGCACATTTTGGAAATTTACATTTAATTTTAAAAAAGAGAAAAAAAGAAAGTTTGACAGGGGTTTTTCTTCCTACACACAAAAAACCATAGGAGGAATTACTTCTTGTCACATACTAAGTTAAATCTGAAAACTCTGCTGATAGGCAAGGGCTAAAATAAAATTCATAAAATTTATATACAATCTCTAATGGCAAAGTAATAAAAAAAATTTAAGATTTTGTTCTCTATAACCCAATAATCCTGTACAATCAAAACAAAGGAAAATTTATCAATGAACTATAATTTCTTGACATTGCACACAAATCAGTTTCATCTTGAGCTATTTACAGACTAACAAAACACTTCCATTGATTGTGTAAAAACATGTAAGTGAAAACTCAAAACCATACTTTTATTAAAAATACTACTAATATTAGGGAATTTTATCTACACTAACCAAATGTATAAGGGACTAGAACATCTCCCATATGGCCTATACATTCAAAACATCTGCACAAACGCCACAATTCTCTGCTTTTGAGCCTGAAGTCTTTAATATCCCTCCAACAACAGCTGTGTATCACATGTAGTCTGTAACAGCTTTAGGATTAATTGTTATCTGTTTTTCCTACCTCATTAATCAAAGGCAAACAGCAGATCTAATCTATTTTCTCAGGCAGATTTTGGAAGTGGATGCATGTGTTCAGTCTGTATCAGCCACAGTTTTTCTGAAGCACACAACAGTCATACAGGGCAAGGCAGCTGGTGCTAAGCAGCTGTCCTGCAGAGATAGAGTGGAGAGAAATACCACATCAAAAACAATCACCAGAGTCCTTCCTTCTCAATTCTCAGACTTCACAGTTTCTTAAACACTGCATTCAAGGTCATGCTTTGAAAAATAGCTTCTTAATTTTTTTTTTTCCCCTGGTCTTAGAAACAGGAATAAGGCTCAATGCTGCCTAACAGAGACAACTAAAGTGAGAGATAATCCTGTGGTTCAGCAGACAGGCAGTGCCCAAAGGTTCAGTGCCAGGATATGCCACAGACAGACTGCAGGAAACTAAAGCTGTCACTGCATCTCTCTGAGCCCAAGGGTCCTGTTTGTACTAGAGGGACAACAGCCCCATTTAAAAAAAATCTTTGACATTAAAACTTAAATGTAAGTTCTTCAGAGCACAGACAAACTCCCATATGACCGCAGCTAAACACAACAGTCTCTGTTCTCAGCTAGATCCTGCCAGCTAAAGAGAAAAGCAGTTTTCTTTTCTCATACTTCTCCCACATGCGGCCCCAGAGCAGGCTACCCCTCTGTCACATCTCCAGAGCTTTTCACAGCACAGTGCTGCAGAGCAAAGCACACAAACACACACCCTGCCAAAGGAAATCTGCTTCACGTGCCCTGCACACAGGTCATGGTTACCTGATTAACTCACACTTGGCTTTACACAATTCATTACATGTTGCATTTTCACCTTGTGAGAAACAGAGCTCACTCTCTGAAATTTTAAAAGTTTAATAAGGGATAAAAGGGACAATATCCAGCACTGGAGTGTTTGGGAATATGCCAAAAACACACAATTAGCTTAACACAGTGTTCTTACATACTGTTACATTACAGGGGATAAATAAATACTCATAAGAGTTTACACATATTCAAACATTCCTGTGAGTTTAGGAACTCTTTTGCTTGGCTTTAACCTTTAACTTGTCTGCATGCCATCTTGTAGATTAAATCAATATATTTTATTTCTTCTTGAGGCTCCATTCTGTTGTTTTGACACTTCCTAATAACCAGAGGGTCAGTAGCAAACTTTTTCTCTTGGTGTCCTGGTTCTCGTCACTGTTATCTTATCATTCAGGTAAGATGGTCCACAAATGTGAGAAACCACATAGCTGTTTCACACCATTATCTGAGCTAGTTACACAAAAAAAAGCATTTTAACATTACATAGTTTTTATTTTAATATTATGCTAAGACCTAAGATATATATTGATCACACTATTTTTTATATAAGCTATACGGTACATGCATAAATTGACAGGTTATATTATACCAAAAAGCAGGTAAAAGGAATTACCAATTGTACTATATCAAAATCTTTGTGATCAATAATTTGCAAAAGCAAATATATAAATGCAAAAGCCAATAACTACATTTGCCATTTATAACATGGCTCATGGTTTATTTTGTTTCTCTGTGACATAAATAACAAAACAAAACAAACAATCTGGATGAACGATGCGGAAAGGGTAGAAAAGGGGAACCTACAATCACTGCACATCCTTATAGAGATGGGAAAATCCAGCTGATGGTCTTGTGACACCCTATGAGACCTTCACAGAATCCTGGAATGGTTTGGGTTGGAAGGGACCCTAAACACCATCCAGCTCCAAGCCTCCTGCCATGGGCAGGGACACCTTCCAGCAGCCCAGGCTGCCCTGAGCTCCCTCCAAGCTCGCCACGAACACTTCCAAGGATGGAGCACCCACAGCTTCTCTGGGCAACGCGTTTCAGCGCCTCGCTGCTGTCACAGTGAAGAATTTATTCCTAGTACCTACCATAAACCTGCTCTTCTTTCACTGTGAAGTCATTCCCGCTTGTCTTAAACCCCCCCCCCCCTCCCCAACTTAAACATATTTTATTGAAACACACACATATGTTTCAAACCTCTCCTTCCCACCAGGTGCCTTCCCGCACCTGTGTGGCTGCACCTTCTGCCAGAGGGGGACAGAGCCCGTGGCTCCCGGCCGGACACCCATGGGGCTGCCTCGCCTCCCCGCCGGCTTTACCTCGGCTTATGCCGGATTTACCACCCAGACACAGAGCCCGGCAAGGAGAGGGCGACGCAGCCGCCCCGGGTAACGCAGCCCCTCCGGGTAACGCAGCCGCCCCGGGTAACGCAGCCGCCGGAGCCCGCCCCGAGTCTCCTCACCGAGCGCTGCCCGGGAGCGCCGCCCGCAACAGGCGCCCGCAGGCGGCAGGCCCCGCTGGCGGCGCTCGGGGAGGGGAGCGGGACCGGGCCGGCCCTGAGGGGTCCCCCCGGCTCCGCGGCTGCACTCACCGCTCCGGGGCGCGGGCTGCGGCTCAGGGAGGGCGGTAGGGAGCAGCGGCACCAAGCCCCGAGGCGGCGGAGCGGCGGCGGCCCCGGTGCCTGCGCCGCTCGGGGGCCGGGCTGGGCGGGGCCGGACGTGAGGAAACTTCCGCGGGCGGCGGGGTCGCCATGGCGGGTGAGTGAGGGGGGAGCCGCAGGGAGCGAACGAACGCGGGAGTAGCGGGGGGCGGCCGGAGGCGGGGTCCCGGAATTTCTCAGCAAACTAACGAGGTTTAAAGGGACCGTGGTGCTCTGCCCGGCCGCTGGGCTGCTGCTGTCACACCCCGGGGTGCACCGTGTCCAGCACCTCGCTCCTGTGGAATGGGAGGCTCCCTATGTGTTTTACCAGTTCTCTGTATAAATATCTAAAGAGTGGGTGGGTGGGTGTCAAGAGAATTGAGCCGGGCTCTTCTCAGTGGTGCCAGCGAACAGGACAAGAGGTAATGGGCAGAAATTGATGCACAGGAACGATAAACATGAGGAAGAACTTCACTGTGCAGTGACCAAGCCCTGGAACAGATGAGCCAGAGAGGTTGTGGAGTTTCTGTCCCTGCAGAACCGTCTGGACACAATGCTGTGCCCTGTGCTCTGGGATGGCCCTGCTTGAGCGGGGAGGTTGGACCAGCTGTGACCCACTGGGGCCACTCACAACCTGACCCATTCTGTGATTTTGTGTGGACTTTTTCGATGTGATGAACTCTTTTCAGGCATCTCTGTGGATAAAAGTTGAAGCCAGCAAACATTCAGGCAGGGCATTTGGCTTGGCTTTGAGCCCTGCTTGGGCTGCCAGGGCAGGGCCTGAGGTGCAAAGGTGGGGCTGCTGTGTGTGATCAGAGGAGGAGCAGAGGGTTTTTACATGGAGACACCATGAAATGAGGGCTTTGTGCTCAGCAGTAAAGCACCCACCACCTTCAGCAGGACTCAGCCTTTCCCCAGACTCTTGCAGCTCACATGTTGCTGTGAATTAATTCTGACATCGATGGCATGAGCACTGCACACATGCCATTGCTGCCATGATTTCTCTCTGTCGGGCACTGCATTAGCATCTGACTGTCATTTGATGTCAGAAGACTGCTAGGTCTGCCAGCACTACAAAGCCACTGCTTGTCTGTACTGCAACTGCACAGCTCAGAATGTGCTTCACTTGCTTAATAATGTGGTTTTCTTGCAAATAGCAAGAGATGAGGAATTAGACTTCAGGACCAAAGACAGTTAGTGTAAATTCCATTTTACTTTAATCAATATTTACCAGTAAAGCAGGAAATCCTTCACACAAATGGCTGCTGGACACTGATTTGTTTCTGTATGCTTTAAATGGCTTCAATATCTTAATTTTCTCATACAGCAAAAAGTCCTCCTGATAGTACTCCAAGAAGGCCTGTTTTATCTGTCAGTGCAAGAAAAATTAAAGATAATGCAGCAGACTGGCATAATTTAATGATGAAATGGGAGAGACTGAATGATAATGGATTTACTACAGCAAACAAAATAGTCAACATGAAGATCAGTGAGCAGTAAGTATGCTAATGCACATGAATAAAGATAGCATAAAGATTGCTTTTATTGAGAGATTAATGTTCTTTCTTCACTAGAAAGTTCTTTTGGGGGATGGGAAAAGAACATGTCACAGTGGATAAGCTAGCTCTTAGATCAAACTCTGCAGTTGCATTTCTTTGGTTACATAAACTATTTACATTCAAATAATATCTCGTAGTAATGATATTTGCAAGAAATGGGAAATGTTTATTTTACATAGTCAAATGTAACATATTTTAAATACTTACATAATGTACCAAGTTAAAAATAAGTTCTATAAATCCCAGCCCATGTGAGTTTCCTTATTCTCTTGCATGTTTTACAGTGAGGCATAAAAAGCTCAAGTCAAAAGTTGAGAAGATTTTAAGGAAGAATCAATGATTTTTACAGATAAAAAGTTTTAATGGTCACAACTTAAAACCAACAAGGAATCAACAAAAATACCACACCACAACCACCATTAAAAAAAAAAAGCCCACAGAAAAACTGAAAAAAACCCACTTTGGTAGAGCTTTTATTTTCATGCTGTAATGAGAAACCTTAACTAACAGGGCTGTGAGCAGCTTCTCCAGATCCCTGACAGCTGAAGAGGGTTTGTCTGACAGGGTTCTGACAGGTACAAGCTGAGCAATATTTTGCTGTAATGGTGCCAGATGTTGCTTTTGCTCTTTAGCAGCTCTCTCTCTCCAGTCTGAGTTTTCAGCTGGTGTGAGTCTGCCAGACTGGGCAGGTGTCTGCACACTGGCTGCTCTGGGGTCACACATAAATGTCTTGGCTTAAATTTGCACAAAGGTGAGTTTGTGGTGAGGCTCCAGATTGTCCTGTGGAGCAGCTGAAGCCTGGGCATACCTTGTTGGTGATGGGAGAACAACCTCCAGCACAGGGGCAAGGTAAAGAGGGAAAAAGTGATATCTTAACACCTGCAAATGTTTGTTCAAGCACATGTTCTAAGGTAGAGTGGTTCTGTTTTTCTCTGAAGATTGTGGTACTAACCCCATTTGCCCACATGGCCAGCTATGCTTTGTGCTATTTTTATGTAGGAATTCTCATGAGCAGCCTGTGAGTGAGAGAATTTCTAGGATCAGACTACAAGGATTTTAAATCTGAACTGCTCAAGTTAACCTATGTGTAGTTCTTTATGCTGCCTCATGTTTCTGTTTTAGATTTCAGGACAACAAACTGGAGATAGCATGTGATAACAGTGCCACAGAACCTGAAAAGCCAACCCCAAAATACAATGAAGAGCTGGACAATTGCTGTGCAGAATTACTTGAGACCTTAAAGCAAATGGTAATACTCATTTTTCAGACTTAGTAAATATGAATCAATTCCAAGCATGCTCAAATAACAAGGAAAGGGTCTGAAGTATTTATTGTAGGCAGAAAATTGGGATTTTCATTCATAGTTCTTTGGCTTCAAATCTAAGTAACTATAAATCCAGAGTGTACCATTTATTTGATTGATTGGTAAATTTCAAAATTGTTTTTACATCTTCTGTCAGCTTATAGTTCTACTCCCCCCTTTATAAAGTGATGTGGAAACAAATCATACAAAGAATGCATTCCAAAGCTGCACTTGTTTTCTGTTTCTCATCCTGGATATTCCCTCTGTTTAGAACAAAAGAAACAGCAAAGCATAAAGCAGTGCTCTACCTGCCATCAAATCCTTGCAGCTGCCTTTGATCAGACATAATGCAGTCATACTTTTAGCCTTCCTGCCTGCATTTGCTGTGCAGATCTTCTCTGGAGAGTGGAGTAAGATAATTATGTAACCCAGCATTTTTTCTGGATACCTTGCTAGGAATTAATGTCACCTGTCAGTTTGACAGGAAGCATACATTTTTTTCTGCCAGATACTGTAATTTAAAATTCCTGTTAAAAATAACTTTTACAGCCTTTTGCCAAAGTGGAGGCCCATTAAAAGAATGGTAGATCTAGGTTTTTGTATAGATAGGATACAGACCTCCAGTATTTAGAAAAAGCAGGAAACTGGCTAGATTTCCCTCAGATTTTTTTTCTGTGGGGAAAATGTTTGGGGATTATTTTTTTTTTCCTTCATGTACTCTTGTATTCAGACTACAAATGCATTGATAAAGTTTTTACTCTTCCTGAGGAACAGGAGTCTAAGCAGTCAGTGTTAGATTGGATACTAAACATAGCTACTGTGATCTAATTTATTTTTCATTCCTTAGGAGTTTATACAAGCTTACAGGTTCATGGATGTATCTGTGTTTTAGCTGCTTGATGTAAAGATACTGCCTGCAAGCTTCATTTTGATGTAAATATTCATACCCAAATGCACAAAGTCAGATGGACATGAAGGAAGTGATGGAATTCCCTATTTTTTGAAGCAAGCTGTTAGATCACCCTAGATATATTGTCAGTAGTAGCTTGAGCTGCTTTTCTCACCTGCTGCTGATCTTTTGAAGTTAAAGTCATCTTGATATGGTAATGTACAAAAAGATCTTGAGAGGGCTTGTGCTGTGCTGGTGTGATGTTTTTCCCCACTGCTAAATTGCTATAGGAAAACTGAGGAGGTGAAAAAGTGAGAGAGCTTTAGTATATTTCTACATGTGGCAAACAAAAGAATGTCCAAAACAGAGTCATTATCTACAGTGTTCAAAATTTCTGTGTATCTCATATTAAGTCTTTATATAGATTCCAGTTTTGATTCCTGTCTGGAGTTAAAAAAATGCAAGTTAGAAATGTCAATATTAAATAGCCTGAATAAATAGTGTGTTTTAAAAAATGCTTAAGATTATGGTAGCCTAATATTCCTGGGATATTCATTAATTTTCCATGTTCATCATTTTCAGACAAAAATACAGATGAAAATGGAAAAGCTTACTTCAACTACTAAAGCAATCTGTAACTTGGAAACATTCCACCATGGAGCTGGGAATTGCAAGGCTCCCTTCTTTCATACGTGGCCCACATCATACTTCTGTAAGTAAAATATTGATTATCTTAGCTAATTACATTGTGTCATCAGTGTCATCCAATTTATGACTGAAAAATAAGCCCTCTTATCTGGATGTCTTGCCTGAGAGGGAGAGAGTGCTGTCTCCTTTACAATTGACTAATCAATAAACACAGGAATGTATCACTTGGTTTAGGGTTACTGCTGATGACTGCCAAGCATTGTCTGACATGCAACAATTACAGCTTAGAACTAAATTTGTCAGCAGCTGACAGTGTCCAAGCTGCAACAGCCACATCCTCTGCAGGCAGAGATGAATTTGCAACTTGCTGGTGTTAAGCTGCAGGCTTAACTACTTAACTTGTTTCTTGACATTGAAATTAAACCCTTGAATGCAAAAGCAAGCTATACCTCAGTTAATTCTCAAGCAGCCAAAGAAAAACACCTCTGATCTCAGTGTCAATCAAGACAAGTAAAGAAATATTACACTCTACTGTTAATATTAATTCTTTTAGCATTCACTTGATGGCAAAAGGTACTGCCTCCCAGCTGGTATTACCCCAGTTTTAAAACTGAGTGAATTCAATAGAAGCCTGATTGCATGCAAACCAACTGCCTTCTTTGTGAAAATCATACTTCTGTGAAGCTCTGCCTCTTAATTCACTACCACAGTTTAGCAGGAGTCTTAATGTATCAGTTTCTGCCAGCCTCAAAGAATAAGAATGACAAAGACAACTGCTGTCAAAACACCCATTGTGACTGAATCATTTAGTGATGCTGTCTACTCCAGGAAAGACTAAATCCTTCTGAAGGCAGTGATAGTTCAGGCTAAGGTAGAAGCACAAGATCAGTCTCTCTTTAAAAATACTTTATGTGGTTATTTTTTAGGAATTCAAACAATGAAAGATTACAGATGAATTTTAATCTCCCTACCAGTTTTATTAACATAACTAGTAACAGTTTTTACAATAAATGCTTCAGTTTTGTTCTGTTGGGGTTTTTTTACTGTTGTTTTTCACTATTGGTATTACTTATTGGTGATCATGCATTGCTGAAGTGCTTCACAGCATGTGAGGGCATCCTTTAGAGTAGCTAAAATCAAGAGCAACTCTAAAATGTGAAGCTTGTATTGCAGGATGGCATTGCCAAATTTTAAAATCAAATTTCAGTTCTTTGAAGAATAAATGGATTCTTTTACAGTGGGTCCTGAGAACCAATACCACTGCTTATTCTATAATTAAATGTGGGCTCATGTAAAAATCAGCAGTGTGTAAAATACATCCCAGAGCTGAGGAAATTGTTTAGCATTTTATATTCTAATGTAAAAACATCATTAATGCTGTAATAAAAAGATGGCTTAATTTGGGGAATAGCTTATGTAAGGTAGGGTTTTTTTATGATCCACGTATTACAAGTATAATTTAGCTTTTGAATTGCTGAAATGTTCTGCTCAATGTGCTTGGGTTTTTCAATCCATTTCAGATGAGGTTTGTCTGAAGCTGTCTGAAATGTACAAGAAGGAGCTACAACTCAAGCAAACAATTGTACAAGACATTGCTCATTCTGCTGACCAGGATCTGATGATGGTGTATTTATCCTCGTGGCTGTACCAGCCTTACATTGACAACAGCAGCATGCTGCTGCTCGAAGCCATGCTGCTGGAAACAGGACACAGGCAGTGCTAGAATTCCAGAGGTTACATGGCTGCCTTCTAGGGATGCTAATATGAAACTGAACTGGCATGTTGCAAGGCTTACCAAGTAAGTTGATTTTTTGTAAAACTTATTAAAAATATTTTTCTCTATTCATATTTCTTACTTTGTCTCAGCTGATACTCCTTTTTCTGCGTGGGGCAATCTAGTTTTGGTTGTTCTTATCTATTTTAAATGCAACACAGAAGCTACAGGTAGGAAGCTAAGTCCTCTATAGTCAGAAAGAGGTAAGCACTGCTTGGCAATCTGGGGGATTCAATGCATTTAGAATCTACAGCAAAAGACGTTACTTCCTCCCAAGTCTGGACACCCTAAAATACCTACATGGTCCCTTTTGCCACAGAAATTCAGCAATTCTTGATCTTCCATGGTTTTGGGGGTTTTTTTTGGGTTTTTTTTTTGCAAGAATTAACAGGGCAAATGTTTTTGTACTTGATTTATAAGTGGAGGAAAGCACAAAAAGAAGAATCCAAAAGGATGCACATGGTTTGGTATGTGATTTTGAAATGCTGCTGCAGACAATAGTGTAAATTCTGGTTTGGTTTTGACTCTGGTGTTGTTGTGTACTTCACCCTCAAAGAGTGATCCAAGCTTGAACCAGCACCCAGGGAAGGTTTAGTACAACTCAGCATTTTACAGTCATTATATAATAAGGTCTTGTCCCTTTTAATTAATTTTAACTTTTTTTTTTTGGTAAGAGATGTTTCATGAAAGCATCTGTGAATAAAACGAAACCTGCTTTAGTCAAGGCTGTGTCCCATCTTGTTTGCTCCCTGTCATAGGGCTCAGTGAGTTTTTCCTTGGGTTACTGATACTGATGTCAAGTAGTTTTGGTTTGAAGGTGTCTGTCCTTCTGTACTGATAGGAAAAGCAAAGTCACTTACCTCATTAGCCCCAAGCTGAAACCTTGGGGTTAGCAAGGGAAATTCATCAGTTTCCTGCAGTAACAGGACAGACAGACATGAATTGATAAGTTTTCTTTAAATGTTGTTCTGTTAACAGTGAGGTTGTTTCTGGCAGCTAATAAGAGCTCTATTCTTAGCCCACAATTGCAGCATCTAAAAAGAAATTCTGCTGTAGCTCAAGGAGAATAAAGTTAGGAACAGTGTTGTTGGGTTTTGTTATTTTTTCAGTGGAAGTGTTCCACTTAGTTTAACAGCCACCTTAATTCATCTGAGTTGGGCCAGACCTGTGTCACTATGGAAACATCTCAGTACTTCAGAAATATTTTCCAAGGAGAAAAGATTGATTCACATATAGAACTGTTCTTTTAAGATGAGAGTAGGTGTATTATATTTCCCAGCATGTGCAAATTGATAGGGAAGGCAAAATTGAAGCAAGTTTTCATTTTCTCCACAGGTGGAAATTGTGGTTTGCTCTCATTTCTTAAGAGGAAAAAAGCTCTTCAGGAAGGGGTTTTCATACTCACAGACCCTCTTGCTTATTGACTGTTGTTGGGCATTGGGCGATTACTGCAAAATCATTGCAGAAATGTTTTGTCATTCTAGCTCTAAGCAGTTGATTGTTATATTTGTAGCTCTCAAATATAATTATTAGACAGTCAGTACAAAAGAGTATCATAAGGAATTGCTCACTGCAATGAAAGACTTTGAAAGACCAGCAGAACTTTGCTTTGTAGGCTACCTTCACTTACAAGGTAGGTGTGTATCCTCTGGCAATTACCACCTCCTAAAAAAAGAGGGGAAAAATCCCAAAACAAACAGTAACTCATTAATAACTCATTAATGTATCTTTCACAGCTACTCATAAAAAGCAACGTTTTGGATAATCAAATTCATCTTCTACTTAAGCAACCACAAAAAAAACCCCACCAAACAAAAAAGCCTAAAACTTTAAACTATGTTTAAAGGGACATAGTAGAGCAGTTTATTTAATCTGTAAATTGTCTTCTGTTTAGATTCAATTTTAATGTTTTTCTTTCTGGTAACAATACCATGAAAAAAAAAAAAGTCAGTGTTCATACTCAATTTAAGAAGAATTCTCCTGTCCTTGCCAGATTTGTCTGATTGTCCCAGTATTCAGCAATGAGGTGACAAACACATTTTAAGGATGTTACCACTTTTCAGTAATGTCTGCTCATTTAATACTGTTCTTTTTTACCTGCTAAACTTCTTGAAAGAAAAGACAGTGCCCTGGACAAGATGCTGGTAGGAGGTCTCTACAAAAATATAATCTGATCCAAGGATCATATTGAAAGTATGACAGAAATTCAAGTAATTTGCCAAGTTTTTCTCCCTGCCTAGAGCAACAGTCCCTTTGTAATATGATTAAAGAGTAAAAGGTAGTGTGGAGTTACTGCAAAGGTTCAAGTGTAGAACTCATAAAGGATGCATCATCTGAAAGGGGAAAAAAAAAGTGTAATACCACTCTAACAAGACTAAAGCAAAAAAAGAATTTGGTACCTCATTAAGGAAAATTATATCACTACTTATGCATTTTCCCATTTATGTCTATGTAACAGCAATTTTTAAAGGTGTGGCTGAACATTAGACAAGCAACTTAAACACATTTCCAACTGTTCAGTACAAATCAGATCTTTTGAGGCTATTTTTGTCTCAACTCAGGGAGTGCTTATTTCAGTAAGGACCAGCTAGGCTGTCACATTGTTCCCAGAATGCACAAGTTTGTGGATTATACTTAAACCTGCTCGTTTTTCCAGGCAGATTTATGTGCATCAAGTCTAGATGCTAATGAAAATTCAAGATAGCTTTTAAAAAGCACAATAACAGCATTTTGTAATCTCAGTGGCACAGAAAATGCACATTTTTAATATAGCTTTTATTTTACCCATATACAGCTTGCCAGTACACAGCACATCACTGCTGCACAGCAGTACAACTTACTGCATTTTGAGATGGCTAAAGAGAAAAGGAATTACATAACAAAAGGGAACAGTGCAAGTTTTAGCGTTGACAAGATTTCCACTTTCCACCCATCCCCAACATATAAAGCAAATAGAACAATGTTAATTCTAGAATTTTTGGTTGCAATGCTGCTAAATTTATATAAACATAAGTTATAAAAAGTACAGGGCATAGAAACAGTTTACAAATAAGTTAAATTTCAATTATCTCAGTATTCACATTAGAAAAATATACATTTTATAATCAGTCTTTTCCAGAAGAAAGCTTATAGGGTTTTCTAATTTATGGCTCCAATTCACTCTGAGAGAGCAAAATATCTTCACTTTGGCCACCTGCTTCCATTGCCAGTAGTGCTTCCACTGTTTCCAAAGGTATCCCTTGGGGTGTGCGGATGTGCATTGTAGTGCCATTGGAATCAGTCACAATGACGATGCCTTCTGCCTGAGACAAAACAGCAGTGTCTGGATGAGACAAGATAAGCCCATCTGAAGTCTGAATAAAAATCTGTTCGTGTCCCTGAGACAAAAAATCATGGCTCTCATCGGAAATCTCAAAAGCTACAGTTTCATCTACAGTAACTGTATTTGCCAGCTCGTGTGCTTCCTCTGTCCCACAAGAATATTCACTGTGGTGTTTGAAAGCATTTTCCTGGTTCCCATGAACAGACAGGGAAGCTCCCTGGCCAGGGTTCTGGTGTGACTCAGCCTGAGCCCTCTGAGGGTAGTTTATTGGCACAACATTTGTTGAAAACACCTTCTCAAGTTCCTGTATCTCATCAGTCACATCAGCATTATGGAGCTGCTCAGAATGTTCTTTAATTGCAAAATTCGGGTTTTCTTCTTGCAGCTGATGATATTTTGGACTGTGACCATTTTCTGTGCTCGTTGTCAGGCCAGTGCTCTGCCTGGCCCCTGCCTGCTCCATCAGGGAGCTGTGGAGCTCAGGAGCTGCCGGTGGCCCTGCCACGCTCCCGCTCACAAAGCGCGCCTGGAGCGGCCCGGCCGAGCCTCCTGCTGCCACAGGCAGCACCACTCCGGGGTGCAGCAGGGATCCTTCACCTGCCAGGCCTGCTCCCTGCATCCCTGCAGGCTGGGGATACTCCATCCTCATTTCCACAGTCTGGGAGAAGGTACCTGAATTTGCACCATCGATTCCAACTCCTGAATCAGCAAGTGAGTTATGTTCCTCTGCTGTCTGTAATGTACTTCCAGCTGTACAGCAGGTGATATGCCTGTCTTCTGAAAGCAGGATTTCTCCATTTAATGGATTAAAACCTGAAAAGGGAGAAGAAGTATTATTTTGTTGGGCAATCTAATATTGCATGCTAAAAAACCTGTATTTCAGCAATAGTTTTGGAGGAAAAGCTAGACTACTTCCCTGCTTTGCTTCTCCCAGATTAGCAAACCTGAAGCACCTTACAGGAGTTTCATAGAACTTCCCAATGAGAAATTCATTATAAAATATAAATATACAAATATAAAATCATAAATATATAAATACTAAAATTATAACTTTTAAAATATTTAAATTTCCTTATTTTTGAATAGTGATAGTTTGTCAAGTATTTCTGTATTAAGACACTTTACATTTAGAGGCAGTATTTTCCTGTTCATCCTGAAAACAACCTGGGCTCAAAGGCAAGCTCAATTTTGTTCCATCTGTCATGCAGCCAGTAATATTAAAAGATAAAGACTTTACCAGGCACAAACTTGTCAGCTGCTCACCCTCATCACTTTTAGTAAGTTGATGGAAGCATTTAAACTTGTTTAAATTTCTATTCCTAATCAAGCTCATCCTGGACTCAGACATGTCATCAGGTTGCTACATATTAATTAGCTGTGCTAAGAGCCCCAGCAGCACTTTTGTCCTGTGCCAGAAAAGGTAAAAACCATAAGAAATGCAGTGTTCTACCAGTTACTTGACCTGGACCTGACCAGGGTCCCAAGCCCTGAAAGTAGCTGGACAATAACTACTAAGCTGCAGTGGTATGAGCTGTCAGTCTTTATTATTAAAGCTCAAAATGAACAAGTAAGTTGGTTTGGTTTTGGATTCTTTTTGTTATGAAAGATACCACTGCACAAAGAAGGAGACTTAACACTGCAGAGAAGACTATTTTTAACATTTTGCACTGTAGACTAGCAAACACGCTACTAGCAGGTGCAAGAAAAATGTAATTTTAAAAATTCCTAGCCCAGAAGAAAATCATAGTGCAGCAAGAAGTAAGCATGGTCATGCAGAGAGCCTTTCAGAGAAAGAAAATCTAATGGAGGGAAACAAAAATAACCATTGACTGAAAGGCATACAAAGGGCAAAGGCACTTAGAGCAACACCAAAACAAGGTATTTACAAAGTGGATGGTACTGATAGACATATCTTACTAGAGATCTACTTCCCTTTCACTGTTACCCTGCTAATCTGAAGGGCAGCAGGATGAAACATAAGAAGTAATATAAAGAAAGGCAACCACCTGAAGACTGTGGTGCCAAATGGTGCCTCAATTCCAATACAAGATGTATTCCAATGATTGATACAGGACAGCCTACACCAGCTCTCCCTTTCCCCC